ATTTGTATGTATATTTATTCGTACACAGTAGATGTATTAGTATGGACACATATTGTGTTCTGTTGCACATATACACTGGGTCACCATCAATTTAGTTGTTTATAGACGACAATATGTAAATTTATAACCGTTCATTAGTATTACAGGATATGTATGGATGCTGTTTTGGTTTCTGCTTCATTCTTTGGCTAGGCATAGTTTTTTGTGGCTCGTGCTGGTCTAAATGAATACGCTCACACGTAGTTATAAAAACACATACTTATATTATGAATGCTTCTTGTATGTACCGAGAAATTCAGTATCACCACTGTATTCATACAAGAATGTATTTTACCTTAGAAATGCAGTCTATCTAATCCAAGTGACGTTTATTAATATTTTGAGAGCATAGATTTGTTTATGTGTGTAGAGTCCTTATATGTAAAAGTAGATTCAATCACACACTATATTTGATTTTCAACGTTGGCCTCCACAGTTCATCATTTGGGCAGTTGTCTGCATGTATGAGTTAGCCAGATGAATATTCACACTCGGGTGTCGGTCTTACTCACCCAACCATGTCCAAATGCATGTATCATGTGCGCTTCCCGTATATACTACTTCCACACACACTCGTGCACACTGCGCAGGGCTTATAGTTTTTTTTAATGCAATTTCGCCAACGTAATGACCACTTCACATTCTCGTCCATGACAGCCATGTGGATTGACGGAGTGTCATATGGACTGCCGGCGCCTGTCCTGGTGATTTCGGGTGACATGCCCCCAATGAAGCAAAACCTGGTGCGTTGTTTTTGGACACCTGTGTGAGCTGAGTACCAGACAATGCACATAGTCAGGATGAATGTGTGGTTAACAATGTCACTGGTACACGTGTTGGTAGTGCATGCTTAACGATGGCCAAAAGCAGAGTACAACTTCGTCTTTTCTGCTCACATAGTAGCTTGAAGTTTGGCATCATGGGCTTGAACATATTCCGGGTTCAAAGTACTGTGCATATCGAATCTCACGCTATGTGTGGTGTAAGATCTCCTGAGTGTATCATTCTTCGGAGGCGCAAGAACATGTTAGACACATATCATCCATCGTATATCGCTACATCGTCCCCTGTTGCGTGCGGGGTCATAAATAGATGCGGTTGCAGGTGATATAGAACCTCTCCACCCACGCATTCATTCGTTCACGCACACCACACCATGTGCCCACACACTCCCTGTCACTCTCACCTCTATAGCTCATGCACAAATACACTCACTGCCTTATGCTCTCAGTCATCATAGCTCAGTTGCACTTTCTCTCGCACTACCTTGGATATGCAGGACGACGATGTGCACAGTGCTATCATCATCTCCAATCACACAGTGGACTATGACTGGTACTGCTTATGGCTGCTGGGCCGCGCCAGAGGCTACCATGGTGTCATGAAGATCATTTTGAAAGACTCTTTGAAGCACTTGCCGGTGTTCGGCTGGGGGTGAGTGTGTCTACCTTGGTCACATGTGGAAAGTGACGCTGTTGTGCTGTGGGTGACATATGGAGAGTTCTTCTGTGTAGTGATACGTTCTTGTACATATCCAGTTGTGGGATGTTTCGTTCGTTAATATGTTACGTATGTGCACTCATGCTTTATTTGAGTAGAGATGCTTGTGCGTGTACGGGTTGGTGTGTATGTGTGGGTGTTTTTGTGTTGCTGTATCATCTGATGGCTGATATACATCACACGACTCTCGAGTATTTTTGAGTATTTTGACTATTTATGGCCGTTCACAAATTTGAACAACTCTCAGAGTGTCTCCGTCGAGCGTTAAGCCGTGGCGGTTGTCGTCTGTACTGCTCACAATCATCCCTATCACCACTGCTCATGGCCATAGCAGTCACCAGTCATTTCACATCGTCATAATTTTTGTTTGTTTCACACACCCATCGCATTTTTTATTCTTTGGCCCGTTCTGGTGCCCACTATGCGATGACTTGTCAATGCCCACAGTTACTCTGGGTGCCGTGTTGCTTCCCCTGCCTGAGGCTATCCTCACGCACCTTTTTCGCCCCAGCTGGCGTTCATTGTGCCGTGTTCGTTTAGACATCGCCAATACACCACATGTGGTTATAGTAGACAGTTCCGAGCATCCACTTCCCACCTTCCTTGGCTTCTCCCTCTGCTCACCATCCCCTTGATACCCTTGCTTTCCGTAGGATGCAGTATTTTGAGTTCATCTTCCTGGCACGCGACTGGTCCAAGGACAAGCACAACCTCTACAAACTGCTGCGGTCGTTTGTACATGATGACATGCCGCTGTGGCTGCTGCTCTTCCCCGAGGGTACCACCATTTGCAAAGAGAGTCTGGAGAAGTCTTCTAATTTCGCAAAGTATGTGATCGTATGTGCGTGTCTGATGTACTACACGATGGTGTGCCTATGGCTGTGTGTTCAGTGTGTCTGTTGGAATGTTTGACTACGGGTGGATGCATGTTTTGTGTCACTCCGTGTGTGGGCGTAGGCAACTAAATTTTTATGACTGTTGTTCCTTGACAATGTATTTCTTTTATGGCTTGTCAGCGTGCGAAAATGTCACCTGTTGGGATGGACTATCCCAATGCAGCAAAAGAATATCGGGGATGGAGGATGCAAAGGGCCAACCAAATATGTTTTAGGGTTTGTCTAGGTGTGTATTAGGTGTGAGTCCGTTTGGCTTGCCGTTCTTGGATGAGGCGTGTGTCCGTGATGCGTGTGTTGGTCGATTTGTGCTCTCTTTCTGATGTATACGTGCAGGTGTGCATAACCACACGTGAAGGTTATCTCCATTTGCCCCAATGCCCATACCCATTGAATCAACTTTTATGCACAGGAAAAGCGGAAGAAGAGTGTTTGATAAACATCTACTGAGCCCGCGAACCCGCGGATTCGATGCTTGTTTGGACGCGATGAAAGTAGGCACGCCGACAGTGTATGACATCACGATGGCGTACGACAGCTACAGCGGCGAGATCGTAACGAATGATATGGGTATGTTTGTTGGGGTGTTCTATTGTAACCAATGATATAGGTATGTTTGTTGGTGTGTCCTATTGTTACCAATGATATGGGGATGTTTATTGGAGTGTTCTATTGTAACCAATGGTATGGGTATGTTTGTTGGGGAGTCCTATTGTAACCAATGTCATGGGTATGATTGTTGTGGTGTTTCTATGACTTCGGCTTTCACAACTATTTCAAAGTATGTTATTTTGTTCTCTACTTCCTATAACCGAGCACTTGTTGTTTTTCCCCATTCACTTATTGTTTTTTCTCATGTTCCTGGTTAGTTGGTTTTTCTCATCTCTGAATGTACCGTGTAATATCAGTTTAATGCCTGGAACAGTTTATTATCTGCAAATTTGCGACGGCATGAACCTACACGAGGTTGTCACTGTATAGTGGAGTTTGTGTTCATTCTTTTTGGGTCTCCGGTAGGACTGCGACAAACCGCAACGCAAATTCAGCACAGGTGTGAGCGGATTAAGCGCATGGGTGGCCCTTGTCTGTGGCACCAAACAGCACATCGCTGTATGCGCCAAGCAAAACAATCGAATGAACACATCACATGTCTAACAGATGCACGAAACATGGTCACACTACCACTGGGCCATAGCGCATACCATACACCACAGACATCTCTCACTCACATGCGGTCGTCTGTCCTTTGTTGCGGCCGCACCCACAGGCTACAACCGAAATATAGACGTGAACATCCCTACAATGCTCAAGCTGCTGTCGGGCGAGAGGTGTCCGTTTGTGCACTTCCACATCCAGCAAATTCTGTACGAAGACATAGATTTACACAACACAGAGAAGTTCTTGGACGATCTGTGGGCGGCGAAATATGACCGCATGGAGCGGTTTACTAAACTTAACAAATTCGCTGAGGAGGACACGGGTGGTATGTGTTTAGTCACTGGTGGTATGTGTTTAGTCACGGGTGGTATGTGTTTACTCACTGGTGGTATGTGTTTAGTCACTGGTGGTATGTGTTTAGTCACGGGTGGTATGTGTTTAGTATGTGTTTAGTCACTGGCGGTATGTGTTTAGTCACTGGTGGTATGTGTTTAGTCACTGGCGGTATGTGTTTTGTCAGTGGTGGTATGTGTTTAGTCACTGGTGGTATGTGTTTAGTCACTGGTGGTATGTGTTTAGTCACTGGTGGTATGTGTTTAGTCACTGGTGGTATGTGTTTAGTCACTGGTGGTATGTGTTTAGTCACTGGTGATATGTGCTTAGTCACTGGTGGTATGTGTTTAGTCACGGGTGGCATGTGCTTAGTCACGGGTGGTTTGTGTTTAGTCACAGGTGGTTTATGCTTAGTCTCAGGTTGGTTGTGCTTAGTCACGGGTGGTTTATGCTTAGTCACAGGTGGTTTATGCTTAGTCACAAGTGGGTTGTGCTTAGTCACAGGTGGTTTATGCTTAGTCACAAGTGGGATGTGCTTAGTCACAGGTGGTTTATGCTTAATCACAGATGGGTTGTGCTTAGTCACGGATGGTTTGGGCTTAGCGACGCATGCAGTGCTATGCAGTGTGATGTGTTGTGTTGTGGCATGGCAAGCGTTGCATTTGTGGGATTTCGGCTGTGCCCAGCTGTGGGGCATCTGCGTATAGTGGCTGTTTGTGGTGTGTATACATTTGGGTTGGTGATGGTATTGCCGATTTTCCTGCCTCATATTCTACTCTTCTCAAGTGTCACGGTATCTTATCCGCACCTACACTGTAATAAAAGTTGTTGTTACAGTGATTGTGATTCTACATCATCGCAGCTTGGAAGGTGTGCTACAGCAGCCACTGCATCATCATAGAACACTCCGTCTGCGTAAATAAAAGTATCAGACGTATGCGATCAAATGACAAACATAATCATAGCGTACAAATGTTCATCCCCCCCTTCTCCTTCACCCACACCCACCTTTCAATACGGATATTTCTTTTACCGGTTACTAATATTGTGTTTATAATGGGCTACAATGACAATCACTACACAGGCAAAGCCATTCACGAGACTGTAGCCATCAACCCCACATCAGCCATCATTGCGTGGGCGGCGGCTATTCTGGGCTCTTATTGGACGGTATGTGCCATGGCAACCAGTGCCACTGAAATGATTGGGGCGGTTGATTAGCAATGGCTCTGAAATGGGTTGTCGATTGAGAGCGGTAGTTCAAATCAGGCTGTACGTCATATCAATCGCCTTGTGAGTGCCCAATGGATAGCGGCGTAGCGTCTTATGCTGTGGATTGTCGGGAGTGTTGTGTGTTGAATCTCTGCAGTTGTGGGGGTTCCATAGGGTGTTCCTTGTTAAGCGTTGTTGTAAGCCTTCGTAACGACCCGCTGAGTATGCTTAGCCTTGTACTCCACTGTTTATAAATACAAACATTTATAGATATTATAGATAGGTCCAAACTCCATTGTTTATAAACAGAAACAACTATAGATATTATAGATAGGTCCAAACTCCACTGTTTATAAACAGAAACATCTATAGATATTGTAGATAGGTCTAAACTCCACTGTTTATAGATTAAAACATTTATTGATATTATAGATAAGTCCAAACTCCACTGTTTATAAATAGAAACATTTATAGATATCATAGATAGGTCCAAACTCCACTGTTTATAAACAGAAACATCTATAGATATCATAGATAAGTCCAAACTCCACTGTATATAGATAAAAACATTTATTGGGATTATAGATAGGTCCAAACTCCACTGTTTATAAATAGAAACATTTATAGATATTATAGATAGGTCCAAACTCCATTGTGGATATGCCTTCTGCTCTCATAGTATGCTCTGTGTATGAATTCAGCTGCTGTCATCGCCGCTGTATCATTCTTAAAATAGTACGAGTTTCACCCCACTCGGATTAAACGGGTGACAATTCGGTGACATCCTACCCATCTATAGACTGGCCGCACTAGCGTATAACCATATGCGTTGCGATTCATTTGAGTTGTGTACGTATAACGTACAATTAGCATATCAAGCATAAAACGTTTTGCTATCGATGGACCTGTAGCACTCACCGTTGCAGGCAGTGGCACACCCACAGCTCTTCCGTTCGTCTAACGTTTGTGCTGTTTTTCCCACCTGCAGTATCAATTAATAAAGTACCACCCGTACATCTTCGCCATCATATTCTTGCCGTTCGCCGCGTACCGTACGCTTTGCCGGTAAGTTATACCTGGGTTGTTGCTACTGTGTATTCATTTCAGGCGTTAGGCTTGTTCGATCAAATCACTGAATGATCGTATCCGAGATCTTAAGTTGCATTCCGTATCCACATTTCATTTACATTTATATTGTTCTATCATTGGTTTTCGGGCCTGTTCTGGACATATGCTGCGCTCTCATGTACCACTATAGCATACCATATTTATGCTCAGAATAGTCCCAGTGCTGTGTGAGGCATATGCTTAAAATTGCTTCGATACTTCGTTTTGTAGATATGATCTGTATTCGTGTGTTTTGATGTTATACTGTTTGTTGATGACTGTCCCTGATCATATATTGTTTATAATTGGTATGATTGTTGCTGATCATATACTGTTTATATTTAGTATGGATGTCCCTGATCATATACTGTTTATATTTGGTATGTTAGTTGCTATTCATATACTGTTTATATTTAGTATGAATGTCCCTGATCATATACTGTTTATATTTGGTATTTTAGTTGCTAATCATATACTGTTTATATTTAGTCATGAATGTCCCTGATCATATACTGTTTATATTTGGTATGATTGTTGCTAATCATATACTGTTTATTTTTCGTATGAATGTCGCTGATCACATACTGTTTATATTTAGTATGATTGTCCTTGGTCATATACTGTTTGTATTTAGTATTACAGTCATCCCGTTGGCGTGAGTGTGTGTCACCCAGATATACATACTTATATGCGCACTTTCTGTGGGCATTTACGGTTTGATGATGTTCCAATGTCATGCCTTTGTTGTATCGCTCATCACTTTAATTCGAGTTTCTGCCGATTTCATAGAACCATATTCTACTGACCATAGAGACCAATTCGTCGCACTAGTGGAATTGGGGTGTCTGCCACTGAGATTCGGGATGTCTGGAAAATTGCAGTCTTGTTGTCGTGGGTGTTTGGATCTCATTTGTAGTTTGGGACATGTTTCAGGCAACAAAACGTTTCCGATTTAAAACTACATGCTGATTGCTTCTAAATTAGCGAAGACTGTAACGACTAGTTTCTGCTATGTGTTCACTTGGCAGTTTTTTTTGTCGCAAAGCGAACCTTCACAATCTCTGAATAGGATGAATTTCATCACCTACGTCAGCAGCGTGATCTGTGTCACGTAGGCCATCGGTTTACTGTTACATCTGTGCACGATGAATATAGATTGCAAATAGTCAATGCCTGAGCGAATGTTGCCATGGTGCTTGATTGGGATGGCGTGTGTGTTAATTGCTCAAGCTTTGATATTAAATAGCGCCATGTTTGCTTTTCTATTGGACTATAGGCTGATTGACTGGGATTATGGGAAGTTTGGTGAACCCCTTGAAGCCTCAAAAGCGTCAGGGAAAAAGGAGCTGTAAGGAGTGTATACGAGACTAATGTGATTTTTAGTAAGGTGTATACCTTAACACCTATCAAGCGTATCTTATATGCTGTGAACAAGGCTCTGGCGCAGGTGCAACTCCGTGCCCCAAGTCGTTCTGTTCCCGTGTCACACACGCACAGGGAAGTTGGACTACTGAAAGTTAGTGCGACCACGCAATCCGACTGTGCCCAACTATGCACATTCGTGAACCAGTCCAAAGTGCCCGTCTCTACTTGATCAGGCGAGAGTACGACAAACGCACGTCGCATGGCACTATCCAAAGGTGCGACACTATATTGTTGTATTTCGTGGCCTCGAGCACTATCGCGCCAACATCTCGATACTACAGTATTTCAATTTACGAGGCACTGACAACACGTGTCATACCAAACGCTCTGCGCAGTCAATAAAACAACAAAGTACAATAGAGCATACGCCGCAGATTCATACTAAACAAGACTTTTTTTGTCCAGCAAGGCGAGTTCGATTTCGATTAATTTCCGACGTAACTAAGTCCTTCCTCGAACTCCGCGCAACTCCCATTTCCAGTTTTACAGTACAAGGCAATTGATGGTAGTATTACTTGGTGTTGTATTCTTGCTTTTTTAAATGTTGATTTTGCAGTGCTGTATATAATACCGCCATGTATGTTTATTTAGATTCTTTCAAACAGTTGTAAGGAACTAGTTGTCTAATCGTAGCAACCAGACTTTGGTATTTACGCTTAACAGTTGTTATCAGGGTGTGACCTGTATTACGCTTGGCAAGCTGGCAGTCACCAGAGTGGGGGTTATATCACTTCCGAAAGACAGTCTCTATTCACATTTCAAGTATGGGTGTAAGGGTAAGCATATTGTTTATTTCACCAGAAGGGTGATTGGACTGGCGTTCAGAATATTTAGCCATACAAAATTTAAGAAACAGCTGTCAGGTATTTTTATTTGTAATATATACAAACATTTTAATACTCTTTCATTCAAGTTGTCCGAGTGGTTAAGGAGTGAGACTTGAAATCTCATGCTCTCTGAGCGCGTAGGTTCAAATCCTGCACTTGAAATGTTTTCTCATTTTTTTCCGCCACTTTGTACAAATTAATAAACAGTGGCTTTATTATTGCACTTCAAAACATAGCCTTCTAAAAATAGAAACTTAAAAAACATAGTTAAGAATAGCAGGCTTGAGTTGCTGGGCGGTGGTCCGCAGCTAAGTGCTGCAGTGCTGAACTGCTGACTGATGACACATATTTATTTATTTTGAAAAATATTATGGGGAAACACAGAAACAGCTGTTGGGAAAGTGTCAGAAAGCCTTTTTGTGTTCTGTTTTCGACTAATAAATATAAAAATATAATATATATAAAATACTGATTCCTTTCCATAGCCCCCAATCCCCAGTCCCCACTGTACAATTTAGGAGGCTATGCCACAGCGATTATATGTATATCTAAATTCCGGATGCCTGTATTTACGTCCAAGGATCGCATCTCCGCAAATATCTGGTCCTAAGTGGCTTCTGTGTAATCAGGTATAACCTAGAAGAACTATGAACGTATTTCTTTGTTCATTTGATGGGAGAACACAAGCAAAGTAGTACATGTTCACGTTAATTTCATTGGGTTCTAGGCGCTCTCCTTCTTCAAAATTAAGATGGCTAGGCGTATTAGAACTACAAGTTTATATTAATTCGTTTGGCCTTGTTCATATTTCATATCGAGAACGAACCTCTAACAATCACGTTTGAGATGGCTTTTATCTAGCCAAGCAATTTGTATCGCATTGCAGTCTAGCTATATAATCTTTACTGGCGAGACTGGACAATTCGTCGATAGTCACACAGTTCTGAACGTGGACGGTATTTGTATCACCACTTTGTAGATGTTGTTATCATCTAAGAGCTTCATCTAAGGGATTTATGTGCGTTCGGAATAATTCGGTCCGCGCGAGTGCTGTAATACATCTTGGTGAAATCTCAAACTACGAGCCCTAATACCTAGAGATTCAACGTGTATATTACTGACTGGCTAAGTACTACTCTTCGTACAGTTATCCCATCTCATATCTATCCCACTTTCTAATACGAGTTTTCACTTTTTTGGCATTAACTTGCAAACCCCGTTCTTTCACCTCAGCAATCATGGGCAACATGTTACCGCGTGTGCACCTGTGGGAGTGGCACGACTTGAGCTGGTTTCCCAATCAGGCCCGTGCGCATGTAATGGAAGTTCTGGCTATAGGCTGGATGACCCCTCCGCTGTATCTCATAGATGTTGCGCTGCAGCAGTTGCGTACCGTTATGGAGACAACGGGACGGACGCATGTGGTCGATTTGTGTTCTGGTGGTGGCGGCCCGATGATCCACGCCGCCAAAACCGACATAAAGGTCACACTCACAGATCTCTACCCACAGACAGAGCTATGGGAGAAGCATGCACTGCGGTCAGATGGCAACATCACGTACAAGGCCGAGTCAGTGAGTGCGTTGGCTATGCCTCAGGGTATAACGGGTCTACGCACTTTGTGGTGTGCGTTTCATCACTTCAGGCCTGAGCAAGCCACACAGATCCTGGCCAGTGCCGTGCAGTGCGGCGAGCCAATTCTTATTTATGAGCTCACGCGCCGGTCGTTGGTGCAGACATTGTTTATCGTGCTAGGTACGCTCAATGTCTCATTGGTATTCCCGTTGCTCGGATGGCTGTCTATGGACTGGAAGAGTGTCCTGATCACGTATGTGCTCCCTCTGTACCCATTCATAGTGGTCTTTGATGGAATGGTGTCATGTATGCGCACGTACACCAAAGCGGAGATGGTAGCCATGGTCGAGAAGGCTGATCCTGATGGATCCTTCACTTGGAAGGTGCAGGAGGTGCAGGTGCGGTGGTGGCTGCCTGGAATGAATATGATCTCCCTGATCGGACTGCCCAAATCAACATCCGGCATCCAAAGTAAAGCCTGAACTTGCGCAAGGGGCGAGTGATACGAAGTGATGTACAGAAGCCTGAGAAATTGCTGGTGATAGACTTCAATAGTAGACCAGCTGATTGTTTTCCAGTCAAGGACAGACGCACAGTCCACAGCAAGATTAGACAGAAGTTCTTCTTGGAAGAACCCTATTACGGAGCTCGGCAGAGAATGAGTGATGCGATATAATCGACCATGTCCTGGATCATCGAACGTTTATTTCGTCCATACGTTTCCAGTTGCAGATTTGGCGAATGCCATGCAATTGTAATATATTTGCCCACAACTAGGCGACGAGTACAATGTTAAGGCAGTAGCTGCCTACCCGCTCCTTATCACACCGACTTATTGCCCGGTGTTTATACTAAAGGTACTGCACAGAAAGGATATCTCATTGTGGCGGTCCTCTATCTTTTTAACTATATACAAGGTGTAAATATTTATACTGGCGCTATCAGGTGAAGGTGTTGCACAGCAAAGGATAGCCCATTGTAGCAGTCCTTCTGTCGTTTTAACTACGAGGAGCAAATATCGTCAGTTTGCAGCCGATTACTATGCGGAGTCACTCGTTCCCATTGGGGACTGACTTATTTTATTATATATTGCATACATACTCAAAAACCAACTTTTGATGAAAATGCATTGCCCGTCAATTTGTTTCCATCTGAATAAAGGCTGGTCGCACATGCTGATCTACATCCGCCATAGTAGTGTCATGAATTGCATGTAAACTAAATATTGGGTTACCAGCTAACCAGCATGTTCGTAAATATATATAAATAGTCGTAGAACCTCAATCCGTTTGAACGTGAACGATGATTTATTTTCAAAAAATATATTTTTCATAGCCTTTTAAATTGAAGCATAGAAGGCTATTCTTTGTTTCAATTTAGAGGGCTAAATATGACAGTATGTAGTATGTGTTTTTGTTTATAAAAAAAACATATATAGAAGGCTTTTAGTACTGTATGTAAATTTATTTATTTATTTAAATTCTGTGTTTGAAATTTGAATCATTACGCAACTGGTACCAGGATAAATACGTATTTATTTATGTAAATATTGAAAAATATGTATTTACCTTTAAAAAAAATAACCCCCCCTGTTTGTTGTTGTTTTTTTAAAAAAATAAAAACAAAATATTTAGTTATCGGTTGGCTATGATTGATTGAATGCAAGGTTGCATTTAGACTGATGTTTTTGATATTTGCATTTTGGACCGACAGGCGACTGCAGATTTCAAATAAAGCCAAACACATCTGCAGCAACTCAGTGCATGTCAGCTGCAGTTGAAGGCGTTAGTGTGCCTTCACCTGTACTTCTGTGCACAGTCAACGATGTGGTTGAGAATGGCAGCAGCTGCAGCTGCTCTAGGGATCGCTTCCTCAGGCGTGTCAGATATATTCAAACTTAATAAAGTACAAGCTGATTGTCTATCTCTAGGATACTTAGGATGCGTGTTGTGCAATGTGTGTGCACATAATAGCGAAGTGTATATCCACCTGTTCCTTGAGAGCCGCAAGAGACAAACTGTGTGGGATATCAATTGTTCGGTTGTCTAAGTGTCGCTTGCTTTAAACCCCTCTGATGCTTCTTCACAACAGCGGAAACGCACCTCCTCATCGTGCAACCAATGCATCGGGCATACCGAAAAAGGTGGACGAGGCATCGGGTAGTATAAAAGATGCAAGCGATTTCTATAGCCTATTATGGCCCGGGCATACAATGTTAGGAACGGATAGAAGGCCTGTAGTGACCAACAAGCAAGTTCTTCTTGCTCTGGTTCGTACTCGTCGTGGTCAACTTGCCACAGCCACGGTTCTGTTTATCCTTCAGGTATTTGTTTGAGACCTTTGCACGTCCATATGAGATTCATCAGCAGCTCAACCACTTTTGGTTTTGGACAGCTTTGTATATTAGGTCTCAATTTGCGATTTCATTTAACACTGCATGCATACGTCGTGCTGTAGCACGCAGCCATCTTTTGGAGTTGATGTGCCCTGTTGTCGTGAGATCGTTTGCTCTGAAGTAATGATATGGTTCTATGGAGTGGAGCTATCAGATATTATCGCAGAAGAGTAGACCGGCACACGGGCATAAGTAGCCGTGTACACGAAAGTTTAAGTGGCGCAAGCAGATACCATCGCAGATGAGTAGCCTTGCATACATGTATAAATAGCTGTGTACACAAAAGGTCATATGAGTAGCCCTGCATACATGTATAAATAGCTGTGCACACGAGATTTTGAGTGGAGCTATCAGATACCATCACAGATGAGTAGCCCTGCATACGACTAAAAGTAGCTGTGCACACGAAAGTTCAATGAGATACCATCACAGATGAGTAGCCCTGCTTACAAGTATAAATAGCTGTGCACACAAAATGTCAATCCGATTTCATGGCATATGAGTAGCCCTGCATACATGTATAAATAGCTGTGCACACGAGATTTTAAGTGAAGCTATCAGATACCATCACAGAAGAATAGCCTTGCATACGACTAAAAGTAGCTGTGCACACGAAAGTTTAAGTGCCGCTATAAAATCTCATCGCAGATGAGTAGCCCTGCATATAGCTGTGCACACGATAGTTTGAGTGGACGATCAAATACCTTCGCACACAGGAGTAGCCCTGCATACTTGTAAAAGTAGCTGTGCACACGAAAGTTTCCTTCGGGCTTTACCTTGGGCAGACGTGATTGAAATCAGGTCAGCCCGCCCTACCCCTTCGGTTACTAGCAGGATCATAGCCAGAGTTAGTGCGTCATATCATAGACGTATCTCTCGAACCGAGCAACAGTACCACATACGGGCATCAAACTTGATACAACTCAGGAGGTGTGTGGGTACTCTCCACAGTTCGACTTTGAATATAATACTCAGAAACAATCCACCACCGTGTTAGATATTGAGGACAAGGTTGTAGGCAGCTTAGTTTCTAAGGATGTGCACATATCTGTATGCGTGTGCTGCTCACAAGCCGACATTCAATGTGAAATAGTCTGAGTGTTTAGAATCATACGTATGCGTATGAGTTTCATCTTGTGACATGGGCATATACGTTGTAGTGAAGGGCATGTGCACTGTTCGTTTTCTTAGAGGGCCATAGTACAACGGCTACCAACATTCCACGTGTCGTGGATGTAACTCGGACTAGCGCTATGAATTCGAGCGCATGTCGAAATATCTACTGACTGACCGACTGAGCTGATTCCATTACAGTGGCTCGGTTGATTCCCTTTCAGAGTATTCAGATATACATGACAGGTTGCTATACTGTACGCGCGTGCATGTGTATATAGAACACAAACCTACTCGTCGTTGCGATTATGTTTTGCATTAAAACTTTGTCTGGTTTCTCCGACGAAGCGCACGTAAGTATCATAACAGACACGTGTTTGTGTACTGAACATATGCGTGCTTTTGCTCAGAACATGTTCCTCTGTTCTTTACAGGCCATTGCTATTCTATCTACACCACTGTGTATCTACGCCCTATTGCTATGGCACTCAGGAGAGATAGGTACAGGTATGCACTCTGCATATGTTGTGGGCATTAGCTAGTTAAACCACCTACAGTATATGCACTGTGCACATGTCGTGGGTAATAGCTAGTTAAACCATCTGGTCATGGCATATATCTGTGTGAGTGGTTGTACATGACATATATCTCTGTGTGTGGTTGTACATGGCATGTAACTGTGTGTGTGGCTGTACAAGGCATGTAATTGTGTGTGTGGTGGTACAGGGCATGTAATTGTGTGTGTGGCTGTACATAACATATACCTGGGTGCGTGGTTGTTTATGGCATGTATCTCTGTGTGTGGTTGTACATAACATATACCTGTGTGTGTGGTTGTACATGGCACGTAGCTGTGTGTGTGGTTGTACATAACATATACCTGTGTGTGTGGTTGTACATGGCACGTATCTGGGTGTGTGGTTGTACATGACATACACCTGTGTGTACGTCTCTCTCTCGTTAAGCCTACTACTACAGTCTAATACATATTGTTTCTCGAACGCTGAACTGTAAAAAATGGGTGTATCATGAAGAACACATCTTCGGCATCTAGTCACAGTAATCTGAACAATCATTAAAGCTCTCTGTGTAATCCTGCTATATAGTAGTCATGGGCAGAAAATTTGGATTTGCCCTACGCCAAGATTCACCATGACAACTTTTCTTTCCTCTTATAACAATCACTACACAGACAGAGATGGGCGCACCGGGTATTTGCTCGTGGCTGCGTTTTTTGTGTTGCAGATCAGCGGCTTTTTCATGCTCAACCACATGAACCGAGTTGCCCGTCAGGCTGGTATGACACGCTCAACCGTATGGTGTCAAGTGTCAACGCGTTCAACCGTTGTGTTGCATTGTAGGGCTTTTTCTTAGGAAGAATTGCTCGAGTTTTGCTGATACAGATGAAGCGCAATTGCGTATTTGCATAATACAAATGAGGGCCATCTGCTATCTGTACAGTCAGCCCTGTGCATCCAAGAGCAAGGGTTTTAGGGTTTAAGGGCTCCAGAGTTTTAGGGGTTAGGGACCTAAAGTTTAGTGTAGGTTACATATATAAATATGCCACCCGATGTGCATGTTTTCAGTGCCACTTGACGTGTTTATGATACCCATAGTCAGAGAGGTTGTATTGTCCATCCTTGATTATGTGGGCAGTTGCATCTGGCCTAAGTAGGAGATTCCCACTGGTTGCTCTGGAATCCTTCAGCTTCCTCCTACCCGATCGCACGAGTGAACAGTCACACTCAGCTAAAATTCTCTGTGCGCACATAGGGTCACCTTGCACGGTCTTAAACAAACTGCTCATACTAATCCAGTGCTACGATCGTCCACATCATTCGCCCACTTTTTGGCATCGCACAAGATAGTTCTATTCACGAAACTACGGCGAAGCTTCTGAGCACCCAGCAGACAGTCTCTCACTACACACGCCACTGCATCACACAAAACTAATCCCCACACCACACCGCCCAAATCAAACTCATCCACCACAACGTGCACTAAACTACGCTCAACACCTCTCGAAAAAACCCATTCAGGTATCGCCTGCCAAGGCACGGTCGAGGCTGTGCTGTACGCTCGCCTGCTGGTATCCCCTGTGTATGGTGCAAACAGTCCCAATGCCGGAGAACTGGTGTCACTTTTTGGTGCGGACTTAGAGGCTCTGGTGCACCTGTGGAATGGGCTGCTGGGGCTGCTGTTGGGTCCCATTGAGCTGTTGGTCATCGTGGCGCAGTTGTACTACTTTGTGCAGTGGGCTGCGTTTGGAGGTAAGTGGCTGATATGTATTAAGGCTCAGTTGCAGACTCTTTCAATTCCCTGTCCGCGTGCATTTCGTTCGACTGCTTTCGAATGAAAACTTCTTATCGTGGTTTGTGCGCATGATTGCAAGTGACCCATCCTTTGCCTATACCTGCTCATTTACGTGCCATGCGCACTACACGTTCTATTCAAGAGTATTGTCCAATGGTGTACTCCGTTGTCACACACGTTATCCTTTTCTCGCAGCCATCGCGGTAGTGGGATGCGTGCTTCTGCTCTACCGGTTCGTAGGTATGAAGATAGATGCGGTGGCACAGTCACAAGCCAATCTGACAGCCAAACGGTACGGTGTACTGCACGAGCTACTCCATGGAATCAAAGACATCAAAGCAAGTGCGGCAGAGGCCCACTTTGCGGAGCAAATCATCGCAGTTAGAGCGAAAGAGGTGGGTATGCTGTCAAGTTGGGGCGTGCGTGGTGACATGGACTGTTGCGATGAACCGTTTGGGGGCACATAGCGGTCTGTGCTACTTATGGGCATCTGTGTGGTATTGCGTAGTCGTATAATGTAGCTAATCTTGAAAACATGTAGTCTGTAGTCGGTTGAGTTTGCGTAATCAGTTGTGGAAGCGAACAGCTATACCTTCGATAGTGGCAAAGAACATCAACCGGTACATTCTCTCATACATACACACCCATAAATATTCACACACACACACATAAATATTCACACACACACACATAAATATTCACACACACACACACACACACACACCCACATAAATTATTGACACAACTCTCCATCTACGGCTCCTCCCGTTTCTCGTTCCCAGTCGCGTACAACACGTAGACTTCATTTGCTGATGGGAGTGCTGAATGTGTGTGGCGATGACTCGGTGGACGTCATCTCCCTGGTGGTAATGGCTCTGTTGGCGCTGGTCATGGGCCAGCCTTTGCTGCCGTCCACCACGTTTACTGTGTGGATCATTCTGGGTATTCTGCACGGCAAGATCTTCAACTTCCCAGGTGTGTGGCATGGCATCGCATTGATCGTACTCAATTTGCGTATCTTGAATGGTACTTCATCTAAGCATCGAGTAACCTGGTGTTGTTCTGCTTGGGAATCTACCATCTAGTTTATCCTTTCATTTACGATCAGTTTGTGGTTACCATTTGTTTTTTTTGGGGGGGAGGTTTGTAATTTTGGTTTGACGATTTTATATTCTCGTGGGAGACATTTCACTTATTGTGTATATGCAGCAAACCATTGATATCTGTTTCTTTAAGACTTCTCAGGCCATAGCATTGTATTGTGGTTGTGGTCACTTGTACATGACTTGTCTCATCTCGGCTTTGCAAGTAGAGTTCTTCTATTGTACTATGGCTGTGGTCACTCGTACATGATACATCTCATCTCGGCTTTGCAAGGAAAGTTCTTCTGTTGTACTGTGGCTGTGGTAAATTGATCCATGTCCATCCAATGTCTGTTTTCTAAATAGAGTTTTTTGACGAGGCTATGGCGGCGTGGACGGCGCTGACACGCGTTGCTGTGTTTATATCACGCGATGCACTGTGCGCGGATTCAGCAGACACGCAGACTGACACCGCACAGCAGCACACACACAGCACACCACAGACTACTACCAACACCACAGAACAATGGTCTGGTGAATGGGCTGGAGGTGACAGTAAGGAGGAAGTAGTGGCAGGTGCGTGCGAAGGCAATACGGCACACCCAAGGGTTGACAGTGGATGTGGCACGGCTGCAACGAAAGTACAAGAAGCAGGTGGTGTTGTGGCACAGGGAGCTGTCAGGATATCGACTAATGCAGTGACTGTCGAGCATATGGATGCATTGGCCATGGGCACGTCACATGTATCTCAAGCATGCGGAGGTATGTGGCCACACACGTTCCATTGCACGTCCACGCCTTCTACCACCGAGACACCGCTTAGTGGCGGTGGAGCTCTGTTTGGCGTTAGTGCAGACTATCTAATGTCTGGTGAAGCCGTTAGTGGCAGCGTCTGTGTGACTCGTGCACACGTGCGTACTGCAGGTGTCGCCTGCGGATTAGCCACAGCACCTGTGCTTGCGCTGTGGAATGCACGCGCTGCCTGGTCAATGGGTGGTGAGAGTGCAGAAGTTGCGCATCAGCTCAACTCTGCGGATGGCAAACCCAACGAAACAGGCGAGTGTGGGTGATAGTAAGCTGTCCTTGCTTCTTGTTTGTTCGGTTTTCTTTTTACGTCCTTCGTTCTGGACCATTTGTGTGGTGGGTTATGGTATGCTTAACCCGTTGGTTCGGTATACATACAACTCAATGGTTTATATTTTGAACATTTCTATATCTTCAATGGTGTGGATGGCTGACATCAGTTACAGCAATAGCTGTGTGAATGTACAAGACAGCAGTGTCTGTCTGACGCACTGTCATTCGTTAGTGTGAGAATAGGTGTGTGTGAATTTAGGCCCATGGCTCTTTCGACCGTCTCCGCCAGGTGCAGAGTTGTATAGTTAAGGCCAATCGCAACAAACGTTCAATTAGTGAACAGCTGCATTTAACGTCGTCGTGGGCTGTGTTACCCGGACCAAACTCGCCCCAAATGCGCTCCACACAACGCTAACAATATACGAATGCGCCGATGATATACGTTCGCTATGTACACCCACCCACACATTGGCAAGCCCCACACTACTGCTGCAACACCCACTTCAACCCCTAACCCATTGCTTGTATCCTTTCTTGTGTTCTGCAGACTGTCCGATGGACCGTACGTCAACTGGGCACACAGCTGTGCCGATTGCACACGACAATACGCACAGCAAACATGGCCACGTCACTCGGCGCAAGTCTAACGGCAGTCACCACGTGCACGTGTTCGATGGGGTATGTGTCGTGTGGTTCAGGATTTCAGAGCTAAGATGCCGTGTGTGCGATACAGCTATTATGGCGCATGGTATACGAACACGCGCTGTTTTGGGCAACGCGAGGTTTATGGGCTATACATGTTGTGCGGACCTCTCATTACTCAGTGTAGAAGAACTATAAGCGTTAACATCACATGGCCATATCAGTCTCAAATGTGTGAGACACACAACGCTATGGGATAATCAACAGAACGCGATACACCACACAGTGGAAAGTAAGACCTAATCTACGCTTGCAGTTACATCACAGTGGAAAATAAAACCTAATCTACGCTTGCAGTTTGCGTAGAGTGCCACACATGTTTTGACATTGTGTGTAACAAGTATTATATATGTTCTATGTGATATACTTATCATGTGTTATATTTGTTCAATGTATCAAATGTGTTAATTTGTATAAAATGTATCATGTTTAGAAGTATTATGTGTACTATATGTAATATATGTGCTATACGTACTATAAGTATTTATGTGCTATACGTACTATATGTATTATGTGTGTTATATGTATTATATGTACTGTATGTATTAAATGTGTTGTATCTACTATATCTATTAAAATTATTGTACGTACATTATGTATTATACATGTAATAAATTTTATAAATCGTAGCCATCGCCTTGTGTACAGTAGTTGTCAAATTCAACACTTGCATGTGCTGATGGCTTTCCCATTTGACCCACAGCCACCCAATGAGGACAAACTGAACGTAAATGGCAATACACGACAACCCACTGACATCAGGCGACAGTCAACAGGCGATACACGACATGACATGACTCATATACGTCAACCGGTGGCAGCTACAGCTCAGTCTACGGAGGTTGTACTACAACCAATGGACGAAACACGACCGCCACGAGTGGCCCAGATATACCGTACTCGGTCGATGTCACTCAAGCGCAACCACCGCGCCAACTTTGTCGTCGAGGTACTTTCTCAGTGTCATACTACTCCACCTATCGTGCGCGAGTCCTCACATACATACCCCCACACTAGTGGTTTAGACTCTCAACTGGGGACAAGCGAACCATCCGAAACCGATCCTGTGCATTGAACGTGGACATATGTACTTACGCACCGAGTCTTTATTGCCAAAACCCTAAAACCCTAAAACCCTAAAACCCCTTTACTGTCATGTGCATTTACACACTACATTTGCGGTAGGCAGATGCATTGTCGTACAGATCCCCCGGAGACAATCCACCGGAGAGAAGGCGCTCATCAAAGTACACTGCACGGGCCACACGGGACCATCGCACTGACCACAGACCAGCAGCAGCTTCACTCCCAACACAGTCACGTGGCACACACAGAAAACAACCGGGTGAAGCAGGTGCAGTGGGTTGCTATGGGTTGTTGTGGGTAGTGTGTTGCTATGGGTAGCGGGTTGCTATTGGCACTGTGTGGCTATGGACAGTGTGTTGCTATGGGCAGTGAGTTACTATAGGCAGTGGTTTGCTATAGGCAGTGGGTTGCTATGGACAGTGTTACTATGGATAGTGGGTTGCTATGGGCAGTGAAAGCATTGAAACCGACACACGTGCAGTGTGGTGATTCTGATGTGTTGCGGGTTCACTGTGTGGTGTGTTGCCTTGGTTGCATTGTGCAATAAGCCCCACATGAAAGCTGTGACTTTCGTATCTGCTTTGGAGTCTTGTGTCCTCCATCCAGTTGTTTATCTATTCATCTTCCATCTAGTCAGTTACCTCTTCATCTCTTTTTCCAATATCTCCCTTCGTTCAATTCATTACAACGCTGGCTGACCAATTGTGCATCTCTGTCCTGTCACAAATGTCACATCTGTCTCTAGTCGCACCACTACAGAACATGAGTGTGAGTGTGCCCGACGGTTGTCTCATGGGCATTGTGGGCGTTGTGGGATCGGGCAAGTCCACGCTGTTGCAGGTGAGTGTGGGGTGGCGATTGATCACAGTCGTGTGCTGCCTTGTGGTTTATGTTTAGTTGGTTTATGTCGTGGTAAGAGTGCATGCGCTGAGCACTTTTGGTTTTATGGGTTAAGGCATAGGCATATGGGACGATCTTTAATCGGCTATCTATTGCAATATCTCCGATTGGAGCGGTGTTTCACCAACTCTTCCGTCTGCACAGAAGAACGGGCACACATCCGCCCACTCGAGCATCTATGCGCACCCACACACATACCAACAACCGTATCACACTCTATGCTGGCCTATATGTTAACGACCTTTTCATGCCTTATACACTCCTACAAACGGGACAACATCCATGCTTAGCTGCTAATAGGAGAGGTGCCTCTAGTGGAAGGTTGGCGCACCTGCACAGCCCCACGCATCGCGTACTGTACCCAACACGCGTGGATATTCCACAGCTCACTCAGAGACAATATTGTCTTTGGCGAGCCCTTTTGTGCCAAGAGATATGCGCAGGTGGTGCGGGCGTGTGCACTGCAGACTGACTTTGCCGCACAGCCACACGGCGACAGTACAATCGTCCAAGCGAACAGCCTCTCAGGTACATGTGACGGTCATGTGTTAAGTAGTTCTTAAGCGTAGTCCAATAGATGGTGGGAGTAATCTCCGCCCAATGGCACTTACAAACCGCTGCACACCTCAGCCACTCACCACGCGGCCCACCCACTGTACTCATTCACACAGGTGGACAGAGACAGCGCATAGGCATTGCCCGCGCGGCGTACAGCTCAGCGCAGACGGTGGTACTGGACGACCCCTTCAGCGCATTAGACGCACAGGTCACAGGCCACGTGTTCACCCACTGCATCGAGGGCCTGATGCGACACAGAACAGTGCTTTTCACCACCAACAACACAAAGTACGGCCGACCCCATCGGTTGCATTTGGGTTGCTGCGTTTTGGGCTCGCTTGCACCTTTTGGGCTCGATATAGGACATTGTTGAGAATTGGAAGTGAATTATCAGATATTTCATTGATTTTACTAGAGTGGCAAATGCGCGTTGTCCAGATGTGTCATCGTGAAAGGCTGTTTACACTTGTCATGAGATGATGAGCTATCATGAGATCATATCATGAGGTGATCTGGTAGTCAGATGATAGTTGATCATGAGATGATCTGTCATGACTTGTTTTAGGCAGTGTTCGTTTGTGGAGTGTGTAGTGGGTGTCATGAATGTTAATCTTATTGACAGTCACGTTTGCGTCTGATCTGTTGTTGCACAACTCGGTGGAGGTAATATATAATCATATGTTGTGGTAAAGACAATATATAATCATATATTGTGGTAAAGGTAATATGTGTATTCATATGTTGTGGTAAAAGTATCATATAAATATATGTTGTGGTTCATATAAATGTATGTTGTGGTAAAGATAATATACAATCATATGTCGTGGTGACGATAATATATAATATTAATATATAATATGATTATATGTTGTGGTAAAGATAATATATAATTATACGTTGTATTATAACTCCGCTAAGGAGTATAAATTGTCATATATATACTCTGTTCCGCCTCCTATATCGTCCCATAGGTTGCTTACGAACTGCGATCTGATTGGTGTGCTGAGTGAAGGGTCGGTAGTGGTTGATTCCTATAGCAACTTCATTCGAGCAACGGAAAGGAGCGCCTCCCGTCCCCACGCATCAGCTGCAGACATCCTGAGCAGGCTCACGGGTATGTGCACTGCGCTGGAGACGTTCAAACGAGTGTGTTGCAAGCGATTGAAGCCCATGGGCTGCAAAAAAGGAAACGCGCTTAAGAGTGTACTTTCCTATTAGTGGTTTGTATAAGGACGTAACATCAATTGCAAGACTCTCAACAACAACTGTGGTGAGGTTGCTTGCGTATGTAGAATACGAGTGTTTGTAGCTAGCTTTTGCCCCTCGTCATGTGACCACGTGGCCTATATCATATGTATGTATCATATGTTATATCATATTTATGTATCATATGTTATATCATATATATGTATCATATGTTTTGTATTTATATGTTCTATCATATGTTATATCATATATATGTATCATGTTATGTACACATATGTTCTATCATATATATATGTATCACAAGTTATGTAATTATATGTTCTATCATATACATGTGCTCATTTGTCATATCGTATCCATGTGTCGTATCGGCACATGACATGGATATGTGTTGGTGGAATTGTGTGCGGATGATTGTGTTGTGACTGCAAACGAATGGGCCTTCCCGCTGTATCTTAATGTATGCCGCATGAGCATTTACCTTTTTTACCATTTGGTAGATATATACAAAATATAATTGGGTTCAGGTTTTAGCCATGCGCACATGTGATACGCTTCGCACTAAAACACTAGCAACTTCACTCACATACGGAAACTCACCTTCGCACGGTTCTAGGGTTTATGTGTTTAGAAGCGGTAAAGCCTCAAACCGAGGTGCCGACACTAGATAACTGTACGTGTTTATCTAAATATCTCTGCTTGTTGTATGTTGTCTTCTACACACCCCAAGTGTTGCCTCTGAGTTCGCGACGTGGAGATTTGTTGGTGCGCAATTGTAAATTTCCGCAACCAAAAACACGAAACCAAAAACCAAAAACCCTGAACCTCAAAACAAGCAACCACATGCTTCTTACCTCTATGACATTCGAGAGGAAGAACAACCACACGAACATTATGTGGCATTATATGTCTGCACGTGAAGGCATGTGAGACGGGCGCGTGCAGAAGCACCCCCTGCACAGTACAGCTCAACGCGCATAACACTTAGCTGTGTCACTGCGAATGCATGTACCATCTACAGCAGTATTCTATTGAGCATGCCCAAAGTGTAGGTATATGGTTCAATAAGGGATGTTTATCGATACGGAATCGGCCCATGTTGAGCGTAGGCGTTTAAACACTGATAAGACACTGATAAGTGAGTGCATTCTGGTAACAGTCAACGGCAGTGCTAAATGCAACTCACAGGCAGCAGAGGAGACAGCCCTTCCGCACAGCAAGAGCCAACCAATGAAAAATGCGAACAACGGTGACGTAGACGATGGAGAATTTTATGGCATTTCACTGGACGACGACGACGACGACACCGATCACGACCAAGGTAGGTGTAGACATATAGGTATGTGTAGGTAGGGGTAGGTGTCTAGGTATGTGTAGGTAGGCGTAGGTAGGTGTAGGTTTGGACGTATGTGTAGGTAGATGTAGGTATATAGGTATGTACAGGTAGGTGTAGGTAGGTGTAGGTGTGTAGGTGGTGCAAGCAGTCACTCCAGCACATGCCTGGCTATGCATGCATGTACAGTGTGACACGCACAGGTAGGTGCGTGTGTAACTAGCCCATTCCACGAGTCGGGAAGTAAGCAGCGCGTGTGCATGTTAGTGAGCATACTAAGGAGAATCTATGAGTGTTTACAATAAACCCTAAAACCCTAGGTAAGCATATTAAGTGTCATCTCTGACGATAGACATACCCCTTCAACTGTGGCTATGCACTTACCTGTGTTTGTCGCTGTATGCGTGGGTATCTGATTTTTCTGAACGACTGCATACCGTAGAGAACTAACTGGGGGTTTTATCGCAGTCGTATTAAACCTCTACACTAGTGAGTGCATCTATTGGGGGGAGTCTATAGCGCTCAATATATATATATATATATATATATATATATATATATATATATATATATATATATTATATAATATATATATATATATATATATATATATATATATATATATATATATATATATATATATATATATAT